CTGAGGACGTCATAACCGCAACAGTGACTGTCTCACTGTTGGGTTTCGCGACTGTTTCAAAGTCAGGCCGACGTGAGAGTGCATCAGCGACGACATTAATTCGTCCTGGTTTGTACTCGACCGTAAAGTTGTATTCCGCAAAGAATGACAACCACCGCGCCATTCGTTGTGAAAGGTGCGGGCTGTTTACTGCCGTGCGTAATGACGCATGGTCAGTGTAAACAATGAAGGGTCTATCTCCTAATAGATAGACTTTGAACTTCGCGAGTGCATACTTCATGGCAAGGGTTTCCTTGTCATGCACTGGATAGTTCCGCTCAGCTGGTTGCAGCGACTGATAGCAGACGACGCGTTCAACGCCTTCAAGATCGTACTGCATTAATGCACAGCCAATTGCGAAATCGCTGGCATCACAGACCACATGAAATGGCCTGTCCTGATCGGCTATTGCTAGGACTGGGGATTGTATCAAGCTCTGCTTGATACCATCAAAGGAGCGCTGACATTCAGCGTTCCATAACCACCTCTCGTTCTTTTTCAACAAACGAGAGAGGTGTACAGTCATCTCGGCGTAATTGCGTGAATACTTATGCAAATACGCCGCTAGCCCAAGGAATTTTCGAAGACATTTGACATCGACCGGCACGGGCCAGTCGGTGATCGCCTTGATCTTTTCGGGATCAGGACGTACACCGTTCTTACCAACGATGCACCCAAGAAGTGGCATTTCGCTTGCTGCAAATATACACTTCTTGAGGTTTGCATACAATTGATGCTTTCGCATGATTGTAAGAACTTGTCGGACGTGGTACTTGTGAACCTCAACGTCCGACTTTCCATCCATAGCTCGACTATGGATGAATACGTCATCGAAATAACTCGGCGCGAATTCTCGTACTGGCCTCAACAGATGTGATACACACCTGTTGAACGTGGCAGGGGCATTACTGAGCCCTTGTGGCATTACTAGCCATTCCCAGAGCATGCCGCTAGGCGTGCTAACTGCGGTATAGGGTATATCCCGTTCCCGCATAAGGATTTGATAGAAGCCATCCATCAAATCCATGGACGAAAAGATGGTACTCTTTGACATACCATCAATGATTACGTCCTTCCTCGGTATCGGCGTCTGAGCCGGTACCGTTGCAGCGTTCAATTTGTTAAACGCGTGCACTATCCGCCACCCTCCTGTTGCTTTTCGCACACAGAAGGTCGGAGAGCTATGTGGGGGAAGTTGATTCCCTCACATGGCCCGCTGCTAAACGATCGGCAAAGAACTTGTCGATCGCAAGTACTTGTTCACGAGGCAGTGACCACTGCTTCATGACACAGTACTTCGAGCCTGGTTTAAGCTCGACTTCGTGTCGAATACCTTTATCCTTCGGTAATTCGCACGGAACAGTTTCAGGGAATACATCCTTGAATTCAACCAAATCTTCATAGAGAGGATTTTCCTTGAGCGATTCCCATGATTGGGACTCATATCGCTCAATTCGTGTCTTTTCATCTAGGACACTCTCGTCCATAGATGAACTACTGAGAACTCTCTCGTTCTCAGTAAACACTGTTGCTGACCTTATGTCGGTTACATACTCGTCTTCAGCGACGAGTATGCAGATCTGCTTGACTTTGCCACTACGCAGATCACGCAAGAATCTTTTATGTTCGAGCGTTGGCAACTGAGTGATCTCCGAAGTTAACTTCGGAGGCGCAATCAGATCAAGTGTATAAGCGCCTACACATGATCCGTTATTGACTATGGCATTCAATGTATCTGTCATTTTCTGGGGACTTATTCCCTCAGGCTTCGAAGGACTTATTCCTTCGTCTTCCCGGGGACTTATTCCCGCGGGTTTCGGGGAACTTATTTCCGCCGTATTTGTAATATCGGGACTTATTCCCTTTACTTCCTCTAGCTGGGGTTGCGCAACCACAGCGAGATCCTCTACGAAAGACTCTCCAGTCGATCTAGGATTATCGTTTCGCTTAACCTGAGCGATCGATTGTTTATCTTCTAGATGTTCCCCTCTAGGGATACATCTTTGTCCCAGTCCACCCGACTTATTCGAGTGGTGGACCTTCGGCGCAGCCTGTGTTTCCTCACAGCCGCCGGAACTTTGCTCCGAAGTGTAACCGTTTGGTACACTAAGGTTTTGTGCAGTCGTACTAACGACCGTACCACAAGTGAGGCCATCGCACTCACTCGTAGTACATCCACACGCTTGTGGACGCTCCAAAACGTTCATCAGATGGCCATCTGATGAACAAGCGGCAGGCATCGTTACTGTCCGATGTTGCCAGTTTACCCGTGGTTCGTACCTTCTGAGCCACGGTATTCCAAGGATGACATCAAATTTGTCATCCAAATCCAATACGATAAAGTCATCGTCGTATTGGGTATCTTCTAGCGTATATTGGATCTTCACTATACGCTTCATGACGGTTACGGATGCGCCTGTCGCAAGACGTACCGTCATCCTCGTAGGAGGTGTGTCACATTCACTGAATTTAAAGTGACCATCTTCTAGCGATTGGCGTCGCACAAAATTGTTGGACGCCCCACAATCGACTAGAGCTCGAAGGGACAACTTATTCGTCACTTCGAGTTTCAAGGTAATGAGTGAGACCTCATTACCTAGAGCAGCAACGCACAATGTCTGTGTGTTGGGAGCAACCTTCATCAAGAGGCCTACAAATTCTCTTGACGTTGCTGGATCAGTAGGGTGCTCCGCACCTACTGATCCTGTCCGTTTTTTGACGGTCCATCCCGTTGTTGCGTCTTTGCACCAACTGCGGACCCTCGTCCCTGCCCCTTTCTCATGGGTGGACGGTCACTACGCCCAGTGTCGCGAGACACTGGACGAGGGGCACTACACTCGTAAGCGTAGTGTCCTGTCTTCTGACATCTGTTGCATCTCTGCAACTTCTTGTAGCCTGTAGAGCGAACCTTCTCGCTCTCTACATAACAGAGTTCCATCGGCTCTGGACCTCCGCTGTCATATCGTCTCGGTTGACGATACGATGTCGAGCTGGCGCGAGCCTGTCTCAGACTGAAGTCTTCCTGTTCCGCAATGGAAATGGCTTGTTCTAGTAAATCTAGTTCAAGCCGGAACAGGTGAGTCTTGACGGGACCATCCGCAAGACCCTGCACGAACACCGAAACCAGCGTGTGTTCATCAACCGGATTGGAACTTATACAACTCGTGAGATGTCGTATATGTTGCGCGTAAGCGTGCACATCACGCTTACCCTGCTGGAGCTTCAAGAGTTCAATTCGAGCTCTGAACTCAGCTCTAGGCGGTTCAAACGTTTGTCTGAGCCGCGACTTGAAGACTTCCAACGACCCAAACGCATATGGGTCGTGCAGCTTGAGCCCCAGTGCCCAAGTCTTGGCACGTCCTGCCAGATTTGACTGGGCAAATGCAACTTGCATATCCCCGTCGTCGATGCGACGCGCCCTTATGGCGTCATCCAATTCGACGAACCATCTCAAGAGGGAGTCTTCTTCGACCCCCTATACTTTGAGATGTCAATCTTCAAAGTCTCGGGCCGACGCGAGTGCATCGACCCGCCAGCAGCAGCCTGCTGCTGTCTCAACAGTTCAAACTGTTGAGCACCCTGTTCTCTCAACAACTCTGCTTGTTGAGAACCTTGTTGGTGAAGCAAGGCTACTTTCTCGAGTTCTGCGTCAAGTTCATTTTGAATGAACTTGGCGATAGTAGCATGTTGGGCATCTCTATTGAGAGCCTCTAGCATGACGCTAACAGCATGGATGCCCATGGTCGAACCCATTCGTTCAACCGCATCCCATTCGACATCGCTCAAATGGGAGTAGCCGTCACGCGTAGCGTGAAAGCTTTGGTCATCTTCATCATCCAACATATTCATGTTGGATGTGAACGCGGTCCTTGGACGGACTACGAAGTGCTACCAGGTGTAACGGGGCACCCTGAAGCTTGTACTGGTGACAGTACAAGCTACTTATTCTGATAACAGAATAAGGCGGTGCCTCGTAACTTCACGTACACTCGTACGTGCAGAGGAAGACGGTAAGAAGAAGCGAGTACTCGGTTAGAGTAAAAAGTAGAACTGTATTTATAATAGTTAATGTCTGCAATAAATCACTATTTATCTTCATCTAACTATGTCTAAATACAAATGTGTAAATCAGTTATCTGCTCACCACTCATTGCGTGCGTCTGTCGTGGCGCGTCTTCGTTGGTTGATATAATGGCCTATATCAACCAATTAGGAACTACTTGGAAGTGCTACAGAATATTGTCCTTATGACAATATTCTGAGAATATAACTCTTATAGTTATATTCTATTAACAATTTCTTATAAATTGTTATGTAACGATTCACCCCGTTACAGTTGAACCTTACCTGTAGCATGTCTTGAAGTTGACGCTAGAACGCATGACAACCTGTGAGAGTGGTGACTTCACCAACATGGCTGCCTAAGGCAAGAAGGCCAGGAAGGACTACGCTCACTGCTTGCCCTGAACGCGGAACGCCATTTTTGCGATGGCTTGCACATCAATGTACTTGCTGGGTATCTGCTATCGTATAATACATACTAACGCTGCAGGGACTACAAAGATAAGTCAAAAACGAGATTAAAAGTAAGCCACTCCGCATATACGACGAAGGAATGATCAGCAAATATTACCTTGCTTCTGCAATTCACACACGCGTCACCTCTGCTTTTTCCACGCAGTGTTTTCCGCTCAATGATGGTAGACGCTATGTCTCGAAGCAGTCGTCCAAGGCAGCGACAGTACACGAATGTACGCTACAGTATCGCATCCTTTCAGATCTTGCATGTTCAACCCGGTTTCCATCCTACTTCATGACATACCGATGGATAAACGGTTACGATTAAGCTGTTGTCGCGTAGACCGTACGATTGCTCCACCGATATCGCGTGACGAATTGATCGTACAGGACAGACTGCAGTCGGCTGCTTTCTTGGTCCGCTGTTGCGTGTTCGATGTTGCTCAATGATCTGGTGTCAGCACTGGAATGTAGCACGTTAATGATCCAAACCTATCTGCAAGAATGGCGTGCAGCACCATCGCCTTATTTTCCGTGATACAGCACAGCACCGAGATTGTCGACTGGCCATCCAACAAAATTGCTTTGCTCAGCACTTTGCTGTCGACTGTGACACTCGACGAGCGCTGTTGGTTTTGCCTCTCCAGTTCTTCTTGATCACCTTCGTCATCTACACCCACCAAGTCATCGCGATACCTCAAGTGTGCAAACAGCGTCTGCAGTGTAAGTGGATGGGTGTCGATGCGCAAAATGAGTGTACCAGTGGTACTGGCTTCGACCGTCAACGTCTTGTGCATGACCTTGAGGCGATCTACAGTAGTTCGCAACGCTCGCAGCGGTAGCATCTCAATAGCGATTTGCGGTGCTGGCACACTTGGCTCTCTGTACTGCTCCAGCGTACTCATAGCTACCACTTTAATTGGAATACTCTGCACAATGTCAATGTCCACGGCCCTCATCCTGAGGCACAAAAAGTTGCTACCGTCTCGCTTCAAGAGCCGTAGCATAACAGCACTGGCATCTTTTCCAGAGCTCAAAGCTTGCTGAAGGTGGCGCACGTCACATAGAAAGCCAATGTGGTTCTCGGCTTGAGACTGCACCACGACGTCGTGAAAGAGCCGCGTAATCGGTAATCGAGAAAAGCTCTGGAGCTCCTCGGCGCCACCACTTTTTAGAGCGATCGAGAGCGTTTGGGGCGTCAGTTTAAATACGCAGTTGGTCGTGGCACTGCTGGAAGAGCTCAGACGAGTGAGGGATTGCGCGACATCGAGCAGCACGGCGAGCGCGTCCTTGGTTAGGGTGCCGCGAAAGCGCATGGCAGCTGAGACTTGGTGGTGTGCGACGTGAAAACTTGAGTGTGTGCTACTCAGACTTTTAAAAGTAATCGACTTGGCTCGAATGACAGTTGGAAGGACACATCAGGACTGTGTGGTATGTAATGGGGGGACTCAAGCGGACAGCAACTACAGATGATTCGATCTTGAGACTGAATCGCATCATCAGAGGTAGCTCGTGCCTCATTAGGGTAAGCAAATGAACCAGTGAGGCTGGCGGTACATATTTTTGCGGCCTGTAGCGCAGCAATGAGGATCAGAAGCGTCGGTTGGTAACAGCAGGATCAAAACCGCGACAGCGATATGGATGGATGCATGTAGCAATGCAACTATGTCCTCTACTAAAATCGACCTTTGCAATGCTCGTCCTGTCAGTGCGAAGACCTGAAGACTGCTGGGTGATGCGACCTCCATTCAAGCCAAATAATCCGCGTGGTCTCGTGAAGTTCTCCCTCTTTGTCCCGACAAGCAGCATATAGTAGCCAAAAGAATCGCTGCACGCACCGACACAGCAAACCCAAGGCTTCTCTATCCATCGGACCCAGTCATTTGTAAGACTAGTGCTTTAGGTCCCCTATGCAGATCCGAGAGACGTTTGAAGCGTGTTGATGAAGTACGTTCAACTAGAAATTTATAACCCTGTGCGTGCTTGTGCACACCCTAAGCTTTAACGTCGCCCAGAGGAACCCCTTCTGCATTTAGAGAAGGTGGTGGTCAATCTCACAGACAATTACCTCGCCAAATCAGCGGTCGATCGAAGTTACGGCGTCCCACCAATGCCAACACACAACGTTATATAAGACACAACCCTCTGTACCTTTCCTCCGAAAGGCCAAACAAGCCGCGGCAATAAGTGCTTCGTGCTGCCTTACACAGTGTAAGCTCGACCTCGGATAGATGTTCTGGGTTTTGCATCAGATTAAAAAGTCGGATCCTCACAGCCAATTGTCTGCACATACGAAAGAATAGTCAGAATTTGATAAAATGACCGGAAGCCCATCACCGTCTTCCTCGACGCCTAGAGATCCAGCGGTTGCGTCGCGTGTGGGCAAACGAACAATTGAACAAGTGCACGATGGTCTTCGCACCAGCAGCTTGGAGGATCTCGTGGCCAGGAAGGACGATCATGTCTCTCTTGCAGTGTGTGCGCTCACTTGATACTTTTTTTTGCAGCACTATTCCGACTAATTACATCCATGGTATGCTTGAATACAGACCATTCGCGACGTATTAATGGATCATTTGCTTGGCAGTGTGCCCACAAATATCAAGCATACAGTGCTGTTTGTGTGCGAGAAAGTGCCAGATTTGCGGCCGCAAGAGGTGACGCCCCAAGCCGTATCATCAAAAGTAAAAGAAGATGCTGTGCTAGCGAGCGTTGATTTGATGGAAGGTCTAGAAGGAGACTACCAATGTCGCTGTCGACTATCTGAAGGCGACAGTATTCCACGATGCGATGTTACATTACTTAGGTCTCCTGTGTCAAAACATGACATTGAGAAAGAGAAGCATGCGGCCAAGAAGGCTGTCAAGAAGAAAATCAAGAAATTCAAAAAGAGCTCGGGTGGTAAGTTGCGGTGCTGGAGGTAGGCTGGAGATGGTACTAATGTGTATTTTGGTCAGTACTTACCGAGAGCGCCAAGCCGAGTGCGGAGTTTTACGTGCTGTCACCAGATGAGCTGAAAGTGCATTTGCCGTCGGTCCCGTTTGAAGACGCTAGCGCTGCGGCTGAATTTGTTTCGACTAAGGCGCTGCTGGATGACGACATGCGGTCGGCTGAACAACTCTTTCTTGCTCTTGACTGCGAAATGTGCCGTACGACAAAAGGCGTCGAGCTCACGCGCGTCACGCTGGTAGACGCATGCGAAAAGGTTTTGCTGGATGAGTACGTGCGACCTAAGAATCCCATTGTTGACTACTGCACGCAGTACTCTGGCATCACTCGCGAAATTATGGAGGCTACAGACATCCGACTTGAAGATGTTCAGGAGAAGTTTTTGGCGCTTGTTCCTGCAGAGGCCATCTTAGTGGGCCACTCGATTGAGAATGACTTGCTGGCGCTGAGGGTGCTGCACCGACGTGTTATCGACACCGCGTGCATGTATCCGCACCCGAAAGGACCCCCGTTCCGTTCCGCATTGCGGTTTTTAACGAGTCGATTTCTCAGTCGTGCTATTCAGACAAACACAGACGGTCATTGTAGTGTGGAGGACGCAGTAGCCACGCTGCAGCTAGCACAGCTCAAGATCAAGCGCGGACCGACGTTTCCTTGTATCGAGTACGAATACAAACAAAAGAAGGTGGTAGTGGAGATGGCCCAGGCTAAAAAGTCGGTACTCATTGTGGACTCGCAGCGGTCTTGTAGATCGCTAAGTGGCGGTGTGGCCTGCATGATACCACGTGAAGATCCCCGTGACGTTGTGCAAACCGTTGTACATCAACTGACAACGGGGTTTCCTCCGCATCTTACGTGGGCACGCGTTCGAGGAGCCAAGCGCTCGGAGGTCTTGGCGTACGTAGTGCAGATCAAGGCTAATTTGCCTAAGCACTCGTGCCTTGTAACGGTGTTAAGCGGAGATACCAGCGACCTTCGCGCGCTTCACAAATGTCGAACAGCCCGGATTGATCCTAGAAGCTCGCTAATGTGGGATAAGGAGCAGCAAGATCGTTTAGACACGACGGCGTTGGCAACACAGACAGGACTTGTACATATTTACGTGCAGTAATGGCAGCCTGACTTCCACATAAATGACGGCGATGATGTTGTCTTTCCAACGGCAGTATCTCGAATTTCGGCTCGAGGTCAATGCAGAGATTACTCGCTTTGGATCGAACACCAAATTTTACGTACAGGCTAATCAATCCCGACTTTATCAGAATGCATTCACTTTAGAGCGTCTCTAGCAGTCAGTTTAACTTGACTGTCTGTCCGATCAAAAAACCTTACTTAGTCATATAAAAAATGGGCGCCACAGTAGCGAAATAACTCAGTGTAACGGGTGAACCGTTACATAACAATTTATAAGAAATTGTTAATAGAATATAACTATAAGAGTTATATTCTCAGAATATTGTCATAAGGACGAATATTCTGCAGCACTTACGAGTAGTTCCTAATTGGTTGATATAGGCCATTATATCAACCAACGAAGACGCGCCACGACAGATGCACGTAATTAGTGGCGAGCAGATAGTTTATATGCACATTTGTATCCATACATAGTTAGATGAGGATAAACAGTGATTTATGTGGCAAAGTCACTACTCAAATTTTGTACGAGGATCGGTGGCCACACCTTTAAAGCGCCGCTTACTGGTGGAAAAGGAGGCCATGAGACTCGGTGATCCAATACGGAGGTGGAAGATGATCTTAACGGGATCGGTGAACCGATCCAACTGTCGTTAGACTAATGGGTATGAATCGACCTGGGACGGAGCGATCTGGAACGATTTACATGGAACAATCTGGGACAAGGATCTGGGACCGGATGATGGGATATGACTCTGCGACGAAGGTGTAACTGTGGTAAAGTCACTAATCAAATGATGGGACGTGGATCGGTGTCCACCCAGTTAAGATGTCACCCACTGGCGGAAGAGGTACGCCTAGGACCAGGCGATGCAACGTGATTTGAGACGGGGCGTAGAAAGGGGTGATTCCAACGGTGCGATCTGGGACGAGGGACTGGATTGAACCGAACGACCACTCTAAAGGCTGATCAAAGGAAAGGATGTGGATGTTGAAGCAGAATCATTTGAGAAAAGTACGCCTGGGACCAGGCGATGCAACGTGGTTTGAGACGGGGCGTAGCAAGGGGTGATTTCCACGGTGCGATCTGGGATGAGGGACTGGATTGAACCGAACGACCACTCTGAAGGCTGATCAGAGGCAAGGATGTGGATGTTGAAGCAGAATCATTTTGATAAAGCATCGGAGTGCACACAATGAACGGAAGAACATATATGGCCGGATTGTACTGTGTCAATTTTCAACAATCTCGAATTGGGCATCAGATCGGTCATGATCCCCACTGATTATGGATGTATCGTTGATGAGAATTTTGGATCATGACAAACATGCTTGTTGAAGGTCCATGAGTGATGTCTCAAAAGTTCAGATCGAAAGAGCCAGTGGAAGCCGGTTAAATTGACGTCGCAAAATGGATTTAGACGCCTTCGGCATTTGGGCACTATTTTGGGCTTTTGGGTACCAAAAAGGGGTATTTGGTACCCCATTTGGGATTTGGTCCTCTTTTGGCGTTCAGGTACGGTATCGGGAATATTGGCGCTATCATTGGAGTACAGGGCACGAAATTTCGACACGTGGCAAGGGGGCGATCCAGATTCAAGGCGATATCGGTTTGAAGAGTGACCTATAGTTAAGAATAGGCTTAAGGGTAGGTTGGATAGTAATTTGGTTGGTTAATAAACAGACTTGAACTCTACTTCTTCTGCTCACGACGCACGTAATCCTCCCCTCTTCTCCAGGCAAGATTGATTTGGCTTCCCCGGCGGGTTAAGGCACGCGTGTTACAGGGACACAGAAGACCGATCTTGGATTGTTGGCCAAGATCGAGAAGAGCGATCCCGGGATATCTGGCCCGGATCGATCAAGTACTCACACTCAACTCAACTGCTAGGGTAGCAGCACACAACGGAAAAGGAAAAGGATTTTGGACACAGGATCGCGAGACGGCTCAAGTGGTCAGAAGATCTGGACAAGGCGTTCAAGACAAGACCGAGCAGGATCGAAGCGATCCCCTGGACAGATCGGCCCGTTTCATTTTGGCGAAACAAGACACCGATCTACCCAAATTGCGCACTTCCGGCAAGATCGGCCGATCCCAAGACCAGATCGGACCGATCCCAAGGCAAGATCGACGCAAGACTTTTATTTGCTGAGTGAAGATTTCCGCACAGCAAAGACCCCGATCTCGAGGACAAATCAAGATCGGTGCGATCCAAGATCGGGATCGCAGAACCCCCGTTCGTGGTGTGAAGATTTCCGCACCGGAAGCGAACCCTCAACCCAACCTCTCAGCGAGATCAACATCTCCCAAGGCCGTTACGAAGAGCTCAAGCCAGCCCAACCGACGGGTACACAAGGTGAGCACAAGGTCATACAACAAGGCACGGATCGGAGTACCCCCTCCGTGAGTCGGCAAGTCTGGGCAAGTGGAAGATCGACACTCATACAAGCAATTTTGTGAGATCGACTTCACCACAATGGTGCGCGTGCCCGGATCTTCTGAGGCCTCTGGATTTCACCGTGAGTCCACTGGCGAAGATGTCGAGATTAAGCAAGAACCTGGGATTGAAGTGTCAGCGACAAAGGGATCGACGCAGACACGCAGAAGCACAAGATCCTCAGATCATCAGAGTTTTGGGAGGGGCTCTGATGAAATGAAAATGAAAGAGGAAGATCGAGAGATCAATCTGGAAGATAAACCTCAATTCCCTCCTAGGGTCCCTTCGGGGGCCACCGCAGATCGCTCTGCAAAGAGCGATCTGCTGGATGAAAATCCAATTGTGAAAACCAAATCGGCGAAAGCCAAACCCTATATATTAGTCGATAGATCGCCCGACCTCAAGCCGAAGAGCACAATCGCGAGATCGACCACATCAGAACGATCCGCGACGAGATCGATGGGATCAGATGTCAAAGATCGCCAGATCGGCCGAACCGTGCAATCAAAGATCGGAGCCAAAGAGGAATACGATGAAACACCAGATAAGATCGCGATGCCAAAGACGGAATACAACCCAATAAAGATCGCGTCCAGGGAGAAGGAGACGACGGGTGAAGCGCGGGAGCGTGCAAAATGGCAGTACTATTATGGCCAGTTGAAGACGCTGCTCAAGACGGACCCAGTGTTCAAGATATTAAGGCCCAAGGTGATTGGTCCTCTGGATAAGCCGATCTCGGTCCCACTTCACGGGACCAACAAAGTCGACGAGATCAATTTGATTTTGCAAATGTTGGACGACATGGGTATCTGCCCTGACACTTTTGATGGAGATGAACTGCTGAGTTGCAGCTTGGAACAGTTGAAGGACGCGGCGAATGAGTTTGTAGAGATCATGATAATGCTGGTGGGCAAAGCGAATACTCCTGAAGACAAGATCGGGACGCTCTCGGGCTCGCTCCGTAAACACCCCGCGGGATCTCCCCGCTACGCCTCGGATGACTCCGAGAGCGAGTCAGATGGATCCATCAGCATTCGTCAGATGTCTCTAGGACCATCGGGTGGAAGGTTCTTAAGGGACAAGATCGGACAAGCCAAGATCGACGCCTATAAGGGACAAGCCAAGAGCAACATGCCGCAGAGATCGGCCAGTACCCGCACTGGGCTAGAGGATCAAGAAGAGGGCGATCTAAGTCGGTACTTCAATTCAGCCATGATGAAGATTTACGAGGCGGATCAACGTACAGCTCAGCGAATGAATCGACAGTCAAACCGCTACCCAGATCGACGTACTTTGCTCCAACCTTCACACGAAAGCCTTGACATGCCGGATGTGGAGATGGAGTCGGTGGGGTCGGACATTTACCAACATATCCATGAGGCGGCGGAATACGACCCGGATGATCTATGGATGCCCGAACCACGGCGCCCTCATGTAGCCGCGACCGGTGCGACTACCGGAGGGGGAAGCATCACGCAGAGGATCAGAATCTCAGCGATTTCTGAGCTGAAAGAATTCTCAGGGAAGGATCGGGAAGAAGACAAAGCGCGAACCTGGATCGGAAAAGTGAAATCAGCGTTTATCCGGGACCAAGCACCGGACGAGGAGAGATGTCTGGTCTTCGGTGATCTCATGGTGGGCCCAGCCCGCTACTGGTACCGACAGCTGAGTAGATCGACGAGATTCAATTGGAAAGAATTGATGAACAGTTTTCTTGTGGAGTATGCGGGAAACGGGATGTCCGCGAGCAGGCAGTACTACCATGCAAAGAAACGATCGGAGGAAGATCCTTTACAGTACCTGTATCGGCTTAATGTGATGAGAATGCAGGCGAAGATACCGGTGATGACTGGATTGCCAGCTGCGCGCAAGGAACATGTCAATCATTTCATTGACACCTTGGACGACCCCGATCTGTCCAATCAATTGCTACTGCTGAATGTAGAAGACGCGGAGGCCATGCAAAAGACACTGCACGGATATCAACAAGGGAGATCGCGTCAAGGGAAAGTGATGATGGGATCGTCCAAATTCAGACAGAAGGGAACTCAGGGTCCAGCGCTGTCTAAGCCTGCACGAGCGGTAAGGATGGTCCGTACCGAGGACGTCTGCAGCGAGTCAGGATCAGACACCTGCGGATCGGATTTGGAAGATCGATTGAGATCGATCCATGTGGCTGCTACTGTGGATCGCCGTTCATCCCCCAATGACGTTGCAGCAAACGCGAGATCAGTCGACCCGAACACTCGTCAAGACTATCAAGACCGCAATATGCCATTGAAGCCGTGTACGCATTGCGGATCGACCAAGCATAGAGATCTCGGTTGCTGGAAGCGGCTCACTTGCCAGAAGTGTGGGCGTAAATGACACCCCTCTGACAATTGTAGTTTCGTGTGTCGTGCTTGCGGTGAGATGCACGACCCGGGGAAGTGTCCCATGGAGGAGTTCTACAACATGATCCGTCAGTGGTACGTCCCGAATAAGCATGCGGGGATGCTACCAGAGAAGGCCGAGAAGATGTTAAACTAGGACGCTCGCCAGGTTTGAATCTGGTACGAGCCGAGCGTTCTGGGCTCTGCATTATTGCATACGTGGAAAAAAAGAAGATAGATCGCGAGAGTAAGCAGGATATTGACGTGGAAACAAATATATCTTGTTCGAAGTTAAAACGTGTCGCTTCCGTGTCCCATCTGAAGCGGATCGATGAGTACTCACGATCTGAACCAGCTATGGAGATCGAGCTCGCTTATGGTGAATCTCGCGGATACTGGAAACATTATTCACCCGGGAAGTGGTTCAAACAAGCGAAAGCCGTTGGCAAGATCAACAACGTAAAAGCTACTCTGTTATTTGATTCTGGTGCTGAAGTGTCGATCATTGACACCACCTTTGCTCGTGAGGTCGGTTGCAATATTGACGAAAGTCAACGACAAGAATGTATCAGGATTGGAGAAACTCCGTACATGACGGTAGGACGTACCAAGATCAAGGTGACCCTCGCGGGATCGCTGGTATACTATTTCAATGTATGGGTAGGCGATCTGGCAGGGCAAGAAGCGATTCTGGGTATGGATTTTATGGTGCCTGCTGGAGTGCGGCTCGATCTAGCGGATGGCGCGCTATGTCTACCAGAAGAAATCCGCATTCATTTCGCAGGACGTCGCCCCGCGTACGGATCGAAGATACAACATATAACGGCGAAGGACCAACACGTGGTGATCCCGGTCGGAGAGTCAAGGGAAGTGAAGATCGGGATCGGAGGGGCTAAGATGAAGTTGTGGGTCGCTAGAGGACTAGATTGGGTCCCCACTGTGATCTCGGGGTGGGGTAAGACGAAATACCTGCAGATGACCAACATTGGCGACCGTGAGATCATACTGCCCACCCACACTATATTAGGCATGTGGGTCGAAGGCGATATGGTACCGCGAACCCAAGGTTTGGTGACAGTCGGGTCGGGGAAGTACAAGGAATGGCAAACCCTGGCATATGAGGCTACGACGGATCGAGTGAACGAACTCCCGAAAGAACCTATCGGACCATTGGTAGATCGTCCTACGTATGCCGCGCCCAAACGCATCTTGAAACGTCCGTCTGATGCGTTACAGAACCTGTCTCCGGCGATTTCCACGGTAACGCCGCAAGCTAACGATGACGATTCGCAAAAGGCAGATGCTGTAGTTGAGAGGGAAGTAACGGTCAGGGGAGCCGAACTATCGTGGATGGAGAACGGTCATGAGATCGGTACCCAACATGCAACGAAGGGAGACCGCGACACCGGGCAAGAAGGGCTACGTGACAGATCGTCTCTACCGAAGGCTGAGCCGACTGACCGACTGTTGAAATTGGGCCAGCCGGAAGAGACGAAGGAGCCTAAAGAAGAAATAATGCTAAATACTGAAGACGTCGAGATTGAAGAAATACCAGTTTATCACCACGAGAGCGGAGATTTGTTTGCGGAAGATATCGAGCAGCATATGGCCGTGCTACCAGAGATGTCGGCGACTACGGAAGAAGTTACGATTGAGGACATTCAGATCGGTGATCCTGATGTGCCTCTCACCACAGATCAACAACGGCTCAGATCGCTGATCTGGAAGAGCCGTCACCTCCTCATGGGTAAAGGTAATGCTCTACCACCAGCAGCACGAGGCGCGATCTGTAATATTGATGTCGGTGGGGCAGCACCGATAGCGCAAAGAGTGCGTCCGGTCGCACCCAAATATCGGGAGAAGCTGTCAGATCTCATCAAAGGACTATTAGCAGCCAAAATCGTTCAGCCATCCACGTCACCTTGGGCGTCTCCGATAGTGGTGATCATCAAGAAGAACGGAGTGGATATTCGCCTTTGCATTGATTATCGAATCGTTAACCAGCTGACGCGTCTGATAGTTTATCCCATGCCGTTGATCAGCGATCTGTTGGAAGATCTGGATAAAGCTCTATGGTACTGTTCGCTAGACATGGCTAGTGGATTTTGGGTCGTCGAAATGACCGAACGAGCAAAACTGATCTCAGCGTTTGTCACACCGTTTGAATTGTTCGAGTGGCTGCGAATGCCTTTTGGGCTTAAGAACGCGCCCCAGATCTACCAACGTCTGGTGGACAATGCGTTGTATGGATATCTTAAGATCGGCCAGAGATCAGCTTCTGATGGCCCGATCGACGTGTTCAAAGATGGAGAACCTGAGACAGATCGACGACCGTCTATACTGGGACGCCGATCTTACATTGACGATATTCTCATACCAGCCACGTCATGGGGATCTTTGTACACAAAAGTAGAACGGTTGCTAAAGGCATGAGATAAGTGGAATCTGTCTATCAGCCTCACGAAGAGCTTTTGGGGGTGCCGTAAGGTCGATTATTTGGGACATCGAGTGTCGATGGATGGTCTGGAGGCTCAGCCCAAGAACCTAGAGTCGTTGGTTAACATCCCGTTTCCTAGCACGCTACGAGCTATGCAATCCTTTCTAGGGAGCTTGAACTACTACCGTCGCTTCATTGAGGATTTCGCGGTGTATGCCGCGGTGTTGTATGAGTTAAGAGAATCGGATTTCTTCGAGATCGGCCGATCTCAGCTTGCAGCAGGAGACGAATGCTCCAACGAGGGTCGATGGACGGAAGCCAAGGTTGCTTTCACTATGCTAAAAGCTAAGATAGCTACAGCTCCCATGCTCAAGCATTTCGACCCAGATCGGTCCCCCGTAATCGTGGTCTACGCTAGCAAGTGGGCTGTCTCAGCGGCCCTGATACAGGAGTACGATGACGTGTATTATCCGGTGACGTTTACTAGCCGCACTTTAAAGCCTAATGAGCTTAACTACGGAATGGTAGAAAAAGAAATGCTGGCGCTACTTCGTGTGTTGGATGTATGCTATACTACGCTTGCCTCGCGGGAGATCACTGTACTGACCCGACATTCTACGTTAGCCTGGTTGATGCAGTCTCGAGGGCTCAACGGGAGATTAGGACGGTGGGCTGCTTTGTTGTCAAATTGGACTATGGAGGTGAAGAAATGTGAAAGAGGAGAGGAAGAGATCCTGGGCATGTTAGCAGCGAGTATCACTCCGAGAGGAGAGGTGGAAGAGATGCTGATTGCGATCTCCCCACGAAAAGACTGTCGACTCAAAATATCGATGCCTCCTCCAACGGTGGAAACAGATGAGGAGTTGCTGGCGGCCAGTTTCGATGGATCGGCTAGGATAAAAAAGAAAGGAGGGTCGTTCAGTGCCGTGATATGGAAGTTACCCGAGTGGACGATCGTGGCGGCCGAATCGAGATATGTTCACGATCTGACTGTGAATGAAGCTGATTATAATGGCTTGCTACTGTGCTTTGAGTTACTCGCCGGTCTGGATAGGGGGCGAGTAATACTGTGTGGAGATTCCAGTCTGGTGATTCGACAGATGCGCGGTGAGATCGACTGCAAGGCACCGGGCCTTCAGCTTCTGAGACACAAAGCGTTGGAGAAGCTGCAGTCATGGCCTAGTCACGAGTTTCTGCATATGAAGCGAGAGTGGAATCAGAGCGCAGATCGACTAGCCAGCACAGCATTGCAGAGCGAAAAAGGAAGAACGGTTGTAGCTGAAGAGGATCGGCAAGATCTGATGACTCTGAACCGTCTCGATGAATTGTTGAAGCCCAAGCAAGATGGTCAGCTAGCTCGGGTAACTACGATCGCGAGATCAGCCAGGAGGATACGTCATGAACCTGAAGTGATACAGGAGGAGATAGTTCAGAGGATCAGGATTCAACGAATTGTCCAAGCTCAAGATGAAGAGCGTTGGGTTGTCAATCTCAAGACATATCTAAGTGGCGATGTATCAAACTTGGATGCGGTAGAAGTGAAGATGTGCGCCAAACTGGCGCCGGATTACGAGATCAATGAGAACAATCTGCTATTTTTTTGCCCCATGGCAAAAAGAGAGTCGGAAGATCGCGATGGTTTGATGCGGTTGGTGATCCCTGAGACGTTGCAGCAGGATTTTTTGCATCACTATCACACGAGTCTGGAAGGAGGCCATCAGGGTATTGGCCGAACCTATTAGAGGATCAGATCGCGATTTCAATGGAGAGGACTGTATCGGAGCGTTCAACGATATGTGGGCGAATGTACCGACTGTGAGACCGGGAAAGGAAACCCGATGATTAATGGGAAATCCCCGGGCAATCTACACGCAACCTATCCATTCCAGATCATCGCCATGGATCATATACCGTCGTTGCCCAAGTCCATCAAGGGGAACACCGAACTGCTCATTTGGGTCGACCTTTTCTCGGGATATGTGATTGCAAAGGCTAGCTCCTCTCGGACGGCACAAACAATAGCGGAGAATTACGAAGAATGTGTGTTTCGACGCTTCGGAGCTAGCGAGGCTATCAGGCACGATCAAGAACCGGGATTTATGTCCGACTTCTTTCGAGCCTTCAGTCGGATCGTAGGACAAAAACAGCGTGCTACTATGGCTTACAGGCCACAAGCAAATGGAACAGCCGAACGAATGGTGCAAACCCTGACACATTCGCTCAAGATGTACGTGGCTGAAGTTGACCAGCGAGACTGGGATGAGTATGCTGAGCGGCTCACATTTGCCATTAACACTGCACAAGATCGGATCCGGGGGGATACCCCATTTTATCTGATTCATGGGTGGGACCCGCGATCGACTTTGGAGGCTACGCTACCAGTGGGGAATACGGGGACACGAGATCGCGATCCAAAGAGGTGGAGATACAAAATCCAAAGACAATACCAGCGAGCCCGATCTGCAGTGAACGATCGTTTACAAGCCGCAATCCAGGAGCGAGCGGATCGACACAACGAAGATCTGGAACCACACGAGATCGAAGTAGGAGCGCAAGTTTGGCGATATCTGGACCGAGTTAAAGAGGGATATGCGAAGAAGCTAGCGCACATGTGGCATGGGCCATTCCGAGTTGCGGACGTATGTGAAGATCATGCTGTAAAATTGGAGATCGCTGGAACCCCATATCGGTTATTTCCGATTGTACACATATCGAAGCTAAAAAAGGTAAAGACGTTCCCTGAATGTCCGAAGGATCAGCTTACGATAGAGGAATCAGATCGCTTGGATTTCGATGAAGCTCTGCTGCCAGAAGACAGTTGGGATGGCGATCTTGAAGAAGGGGAATATGAAGTAGAGGCAATATTGGACGTGCAATCTGGTAGAAAAACCCGTTATGGGCGAGTACACCGGCAGTTTCTGGTGAAGTGGAAGGGATATCCCGATCTAAGTTGGGTGGACGAGGCCGATCTACGTTGTGGGGCGATCTTGCAATAGTTTGAGCGGAACCGAGTGAGTCGAAACCGTTTCGACGTAATGCAGTCTCATGAAGGCAAGTCGGACGAACCTTAACAGTTCGAACAAGTATGCGGGAGGTAGCATATGCGGATGTAGGGGTTGAAAGATGTGCTAGACGGTAGCACATGCTGGTGGATGAGGTTTTTGTATGTGAGTATGGAGATAGTCAAGTGAATTACCTTCCTGAATGATGTGGAGCGATGAGGATCGAGATCGTGGAAGCTGCAAAGAGTTGAAGTACCAAAAAGAAGATGATTGAATGACTTACACGATTATGAAAGACGATCGGGCTTGAATATCGACCTTGGACTAAGACGATGGAGCAGGTTTGAACTTGTCCTGCAGACGAGGGATCTGCGATCCGGGATGATCTAGATGGCGCGGAGACCCAGGCCGATCGGGGACCGCTGGGGTGTGTCCTCCGAGATCGGGCGATCCGGGCGACAGGTCGCGATCCGGAGACAGAAACATGGTGGGTCCTTCTGATGAGATCAGCGAGGTGGGTGGATGCGTCGGAGAGGTCATGAGACGAACTTGAGTGCTTGGAACGAAGTTGATGAGTGACTGTACTGAGGTCAATTGCTGTACAAAAGACTTCAGTACAGGGGGCGGTTGTGGCAAAGTCACAACTCAAATTTTGTACGAGGATCGGTGGCCACACCTTTAAAGCGCCGCTTACTGGTGGAAAAGGAGGCCATGAGACTCGGTGATCCAATACGGAGGTGGAAGATGATCTTAACGGGATCGGTGAACCGATCCAACTGTCGTTAGACTAATGGGTATGAATCGACCTGGGACGGAGCGATCTGGAACGATTTACATGGAACAATCTGGGACAAGGATCTGGGACCGGGTGATGGGATATGACTCTGCAACGAAGGTGTAACTGTGGTAAAGTCACTAATCAAATGATGGGACGTGGATCGGTGTCCACCCAGTTAAGATGTCACCCACTGGCGGAAGAGGTACGCCTAGGACCAGGCGATGCAACGTGATTTGAGACGGGGCGTAGAAAGGGGGTGATTCCAACGGTGCGATCTGGGACGAGGGACTGGATTGAACCGAACGACCACTCTAAAGGCTGATCAAAGGAAAGGATGTGGATGTTGAAGCAGAATCATTTGAGAAAAGTACGCCTGGGACCAGGCGATGCGACGTGGTTTGAGACGGGGCGTAGCAAGGGGTGATTTCCACGGTGCGATCTGGGATGAGGGACTGGATTGAACCGAACGACCACTCTGAAGACTGATCAGAGGCAAGGATGTGGATGTTGAAGCAGAATCATTTTGATAAAGCATCGGAGTGCACACAATGAACGGAAGAACATATATGGCCGGATTGTACTGTGTCAATTTTCAACAATCTCGAATTGGGCATCAGATCGGTCATGATCCCCACTGATTATGGATGTATCGTTGATGAGAATTTTGGATCATGACAAACATGCTTGTTGAAGGTCCATGAGTGATGTCTCAAAAGTTCAGATCGAAAGAGCCAGTGGAAGCCGGTTAAATTGACGTCGCAAAATGGATTTAGACGCCTTCGGCATTTGGGCACTATTTTGGGCTTTTGGGTACCAAAAAGGGGTATTTGGTACCCCATTTGGGATTTGGTCCTCTTTTGGCGTTCAGGTACGGTATCGGGAATATTGGCGCTATCATTGGAGTACAGGGCACGAAATTTCGACACGTGGCAAGGGGGCGATCCAGATTCAAGGCGATATCGGTTTGAAGAGTGACCTATAGTTAAGAATAGGCTTAAGGGTAGGTTGGATAGTAATTTGGTTGGTTAATAAACAGACTTGAACTCTACTTCTTCTGCTCACGACGCACGTAATCCTCCCCTCTTCTCCAGGCAAGATTGATTTGGCTTCCCCGGCGGGTTAAGGCACGCGTGTTACAGGGACACAGAAGACCGATCTTGGATTGTTGGCCAAGATCGAGAAGAGCGATCCCGGGATATCTGGCCCGGATCGATCAAGTACTCACACTCAACTCAACTGCTAGGGTAGCAGCACACAACGGAAAAGGAAAAGGATTTTGGACACAGGATCGCGAGACGGCTCAAGTGGTCAGAAGATCTGGACAAGGCGTTCAAGACAAGACCGAGCAGGATCGAAGCGATCCCCTGGACAGATCGGCCCGTTTCATTTTGGCGAAACAAGACACCGATCTACCCAAATTGCGCACTTCCGGCAAGATCGGCCGATCCCAAGACCAGATCGGACCGATCCCAAGGCAAGATCGACGCAAGACTTTTATTTGCTGAGTGAAGATTTCCGCACAGCAAAGACCCCGATCTCGAGGACAAATCAAGATCGGTGCGATCCAAGATCGGGATCGCAGAACCCCCGTTCGTGGTGTGAAGATTTCCGCACCGGAAGCGAACCCTCAACCCAACCTCTCAGCGAGATCAACATCTCCCAAGGCCGTTACGAAGAGCTCAAGCCAGCCCAACCGACGGGTACACAAGGTGAGCACAAGGTCATACAACAAGGCACGGATCGGAGTACCCCCTCCGTGAGTCGGCAAGTCTAGGCAAGTGGAAGATCGACACTCATACAAGCAATTTTGTGAGATCGACTTCACCACATTTATTGCAGACATTAACTATGATAAATACAGTTCTACTTTTAGCTTTAACCAAGTACTCGCTTCTTCTTACCGTCTTCCTTCTGCACGTACTAGTGTACGTGAAGTTATGCGGCACCGCCTTATTCTGTTATCGGAGTAAGTAGCTTGTACTGTCATCAGTACAAGCTTCAGGGTGCCCCGTTACACCTGGTAGCACTTCGTAGTCCGTCCAAGGACCACGTTCACATCTAACATGAATATGTTAGATGATGAAGATTACCAAAGCTTTCACGCTACGCGTGACGGCTACTCCCATTTGAGCGATGTCGAATGGGATGCGGTTGAACGAATGGGTTCGACCATGGGCATCCATGCTGTCAGCGTCATGATAGAGGCTCTCAATAGAGATGCCCAACATGCTACTATCGCCAAGTTCATTCAAAATGAACTTGACGCAGAACGCGAGAAAGTAGCCTTGCTTCACCAACAAGGTTCTCAACAAGCAGAGTTGTTGAGAGAACAAGGTGCTCAACAGTTTGAACTGTTGAGACAGCAGTAGGCTGCTGCTGGCGGGTCGATGCACTCGCGTCGACCCGAAACCTTCAAGATTGACATCTCCAAGTATAGGGGAGTCGAAGAGGACCCCCTCTTGAGATGGTTCATCGAATTAGACGACGCCATAAGGGCTCGTCGCATCGACGATGGGGATATGCAAGTTGCATTTGCCCAGTCAAATCTGGCAGGACGTGCCAAGACTTGGGCTTTGGGGCTCAAGTTGCACGACCCATATGCGTTTGGGTCGTTGGAAGTCTTCAAGTCGCGGCTCAGACAAACGTTTGAACCGCCTAGAGCTGAGTTCAGAGCTCGAATTGAACTCTTGAAGCTCCAGCAGGGTAAGCGTGATGTGCACGCTTACGCGCAACGTATACGACATCTCACGAGTTGTATAAGTTCCAATCCGGTTGATGAACACACGCTGGTTTCGGTGTTCATGCAGGGTCTTGCGGATGGTCCCGTCAAGACTCACCTGTTCCGCCTTGAACTAGATTTACTAGAACAAGCCATTTCCATTGCGGAACAGGAAGACTTCAGTCTGAGACAGGCTCGCGCCAGCTCGACATCGTATCGTCAACCGAGACGATATGACAGCGG